TACTTAAGTACTAATAGTTCACGAAAATAATAATTTTCGTGAACTATTATTACTTAAGTATGTAAAAATTTATTACATTTCCTGTTGTTCGAGGGTTTTACCCAATTCTCGAACCGTGTCAGAGTGAATCCATGCTATAAAAGTACCATGTTATACGGGGGATGGTACCAATTCTTGAACCGTGTTAGAGCAAATCCGTGCTATAGAAGTGCCGTGTTATACGGGGGTTACCTGTATATAAAAATGGGAAATATCACACTTCTGACAATTGCTGCGAGTGTGTGGGTTAAATTTGGAGAATCCAAGCTTCTCGCATGGACAACTGTATGTGGCCAGCTCACGCATTGGAAAACCTTCTGATTTATTCGTGTACGCACGAGACGGAAAAACAAAAAATATCGTGTATCCACAAGTACTCCAATAAATAAATAGAATTGAAATGACACTTTGAAATGTTTTTCTGACAAAAATAAATAATAATAATAAGTTTCAATAAAAATGATAAAATGTAAATTGAATTTTATCATAACAAGTTTACTTGAATTTCGTTTCTTCTGAAATCGCAGCAATGCATGACGGGTAAGCTAGTTATATATAAGTTAAATAATAAACAGTAAAAACATTCTTTATACTTTTTAAAATCATTTTCTTGAGAAGTCACACACTTTTACACTTTATTATAAAACTACTGAAACCATTTTTTGAATTCATTTAAATTTATTGTCATCAATTTTCATGTTATTATCTTTTCAATATAAATTTGACTTTTTGAAGTACAGCATAATCTGTAAAAGATAATTTGTAATTTGTCTAGAGATAGACAACCTACCTCTAGATAATTTACTTCATATCTAATTATTAACTTAGCCTAATCACAGTCTGATAATTCAGCAGATTGTCTGGCTTTAATCAAAAATCGAGTTTGTTGAGTTGTTGTTTATATATGAAGATAACTTTTATACCTTCAAAAAATTTAAATCACTATGTAATGCCATATATTTTTACTCTTTTCTTTTAAAATAAATAGTTTATTTGATAAATTCTTTTAACTAAACAATCAAAATATAGTGTAATGTATGTAATGTACAAATTATTCACTATCAGATCTCAGAAAGCATATTCTTTATAAATATATATAAAAAATATACATATATGTACAATAAATATATCTAATCTGACAATTGTTACATTTAATACCTCCTGCCAAATTGTTTAGTAATTATTTAGCCTTAGATCTTGATAAAGAATCTGGCTGTTTGTTTGGTATTTATAATTCTTTACAGATAATTCTTTTCTTATAAAAGATGGTCATTGCCATTTCAGTTCTAATTTTGAAATTAAAATTTTTTAAGTTAAATTTTAACATAGGTTTTATTATATTTATCACATTAAAACCATTATAAATTCAATTATAAAATAATATATAATTTTTTTATCAACTATTCTAGAACAGTTTTTAAAAATGATTTCATACTTACTTTTCTCACAGGAGCAACTTCTCTAATATCATATAAAATAATGCTTCTATCACTGCAAGTACTTCCTAAAAGATTTGTCTAAAATATTACAAATTATAAAAAATATTTTAAATTAATTTAAAAGATAAAGAATAAATATTTTAATGGAACGATATATTGCTTTATCCTTTAATACTATTTAACACTTAGTCTAAATAAACAGACACTTGAGTGTTCTTTATTATGTACATGTTAAAAGAGCCATAGTTTATTGTATAATTTTATTAAGATGTTAATAATCATTAAAGAATTTATGAATTAATCTCATTCACTGGTGTGATAAGCCCATATGTATTCTTGTCTATTTATTTATACTAAGTGTTAAATAAATATTTTATTTATTTAATAATAAAAGAATATACCTCTATAGGATTAAATTTCACACAATTTAAAGTATCTACACCCCATGTATAAGATCTAAGTGGTTCTGATCTTGTTTCTTCCCAGAGATCTACAGTTTCACCACATGTAGCAAACTGATTATTTTTTCTATGATGATCAATTCCTGTCATTATTCTCTATATAAAAAAAAATGTGAAAACTATTTTTAATATCTTTAAAAATACAAAAATATAATAAGAGTAAAAAGTAACTTCTATTGAATTAGTTTTACTTTCCTGGATGTTATATGTTGGGAAAGTATTGTAATCATGTCAAATTTGACATTCTGGGATTTTTGCAAATCTTGATGTTTTGAGATCCTATGAACCCAAAAAAGTCAAAAAATGGGAGAAAATTCCTGGTTTTTGTGTTGTGTGTTAGCATCAATTTCATTTAACCCTTTTGCAATCATTTGTCAATATATCGTCAAGTAATTAATTAATGAAACAAATCTGTAGGTTATTCTGTACACTTGTTTCACATATTTAATACCAAATGGCATTTTTATTTTTATTTTATTTTATTTTAAGAATTTATAATTTTTTTGAAGCAAGAAATTTCTTTGTGTAAAAAAACTGTTTGAGTTTGTTTTAGTCAAATGCACAGAACAAAATGGCCATTTGTACAGGGTTACTCATGGAAATGAACTATATAATCGAAAAATTTTATCTATGATCATGTTGTGTAAATTATAAATAATATTCAAACTGTCATTTTTAACACATTTTTTTGGGATAAATNGTTTTGAGATCCTATGAACCCAAAAAAGTCAAAAAATGGGAGAAAATTCCTGGTTTTTGTGTTGTGTGTTAGCATCAATTTCATTTAACCCTTTTGCAATCATTTGTCAATATATCGTCAAGTAATTAATTAATGAAACAAATCTGTAGGTTATTCTGTACACTTGTTTCACATATTTAATACCAAATGGCATTTTTATTTTTATTTTATTTTATTTTAAGAATTTATAATTTTTTTGAAGCAAGAAATTTCTTTGTGTAAAAAAACTGTTTGAGTTTGTTTTAGTCAAATGCACAGAACAAAATGGCCATTCGTGCAGGGTTACTCACGGAAATGAACTATATAATCGAAAAATTTTATCTATGATCATGTTGTGTAAATTATAAATAATATTCAAACTGTCATTTTTAACACATTTTTTCGGGATAAATTTTTTATGCTAGTGAAAAGAACTTTACTACCATAACAATGAAAAGTAACATGTATATGTGAATTTTTTTAGGTATTTTGCAGAATATAGTGCTGAATTTATAAGACCATGCTCTAATATATGTGAAAATATGGTATTCAATAAAGGCTGAAAATACTTCTAGATTAATGAATTGTTTCAGTGTCTTAAGAAGTAGATATGCGAACTTTACACTTAAAAATGGTACCAAGCTTTGTCCATTTTAAAGTTAGAAATTTAACTTTTTAGCAATAAAAATCTATAATTAAAATACATTTTTTGAGTCTGTGCTAAATATCACATAATTTTGCATTAATTTTATAAAATTACTTCAATAAAAAAACTGGAATAAATTGTCAAGCACATCTTATATTAATACTAGTGTTGCAACAAATATTATATTCGGCCTCAGGCCAAATACCGAATATTTGGCCAGGAGCGTGGCTGAATAGCCGAATATTCGACCAAACTATTTGGCTCGATTAACGCACATATGAAAATTGGCGTGCAAACCACATTATGGCAAGGATCCTGCTCTCTATTGGCCCGCTGTCATTACGCTTCGCCAATCGCCTTAATTCTTGGCAGTTGTAGCGAACAGACAAGAGTGTCATGGAAGTATGTAATAAATGATGATATCAAATGTGGATAACAATGAAATGGCCTACATGTGTAAATAATGGAAAAAGAACAGAGAAGGACCGCGAAGTGAAAATGTGAAAATAAATATGAAATTAAGTTGATAATGTAATCAAACGAGTCAAGGCAGTTTATTGGCACAAAATTCACGGCCGTCAATGCCAAACAATTGTTGTCATGTCACTTAGCGTGCATGGGCGAAAGCCTGGGGCCATTCGGGCTACCAAGCTGTCTCGAATCTGTGAAATCATAACTGTGATTTATACTGATGTCCTATCTGTCTATTTTCTCCATTATCACCAGGCTGAGTCATGTAATTGTAAAATGGGAACTCTACGATGGAAAAGTGACAAATCAAAAGTATCGTGAGCATGTATTATGATGTATGCATAGGCATACATGGATTAGAGCGATAGAGGAAAGAGAAAGGGAAGAGCAAAGACAAGTGCTTAAAAAGAAGGATAGGCAGGGTCAGACCCTCAGATGTGCGAGGATTCTCCAATGATAGGCGTGTACGTGTGCTGATCTTTGTAATTATAAATTGTGAATACGTGTGACTAATATTATTTTCTTTTTTATTTTGTGCATGTTATAAATAAATACTGTGTTTCCCCGAAAATAAGACAGTGTCTTATATTAATTTTTGCTCTGAAAAATGCGCTAGGTCTTATTTTGAGGGAATGTCTTATTTTTTCCAGGAAGAAGAATTCACATTTATTATTGAACAAAAAAATGCCCAAGTCGAACTTAGACGAGTGACGTATATCCGGTGTGTCGAACTATCGCCTTTTTATAGTGTCAACATCGGACTCGATGACCAATTAGTGCTTACTGAACCGTAGCACTATGCAAATGTCATGTGGCGTGATTCCCGGCCGACCAATTAGTCATCACCAGCCGTAACGTTATGCAAATCTGTAATTCCCAAGCCATAGTCTTATGCAAATCATGCCGTGTGGCATAATTGTCTGCTGACCAATCAGTGGCTGTACTTTCAAAAAGCCAACGGCCACTTTCAACCATCTGTCGATGACCGTTACGACTAAAAAAAAAACTTTGCTAGGTCTTACTTTCAGGGGAGGTCTTATATTTCGCAATTCAGCAAAATCTGTGCTAGGTCTTATTTTCTGCGGATGTCTTATTTTCGGGGAAACACGGTATAAATAAACAACACTAAACCAACAACATTAAATCTAAATACCAAAATGATTAATTTACTGTGTTTCTGTCATTTATTACTCCTGTTTTTAGGTATTCGGTATTTGGCCAAATAGTGACTAAATATTTGGTATTCAGCCGAATAGTGAAAAATAGGCCGAATACCAAATAGTAACTGAATATTCGTTACATCACTAATTAATACCAAATAATAAACAGATCTATAACATTATTCAAACATGCAGTCATGATGTTGAAGAAAATTATATTAAAACTTACTTTTCCAATAATAGTGTGTAAAGGAGCATCAATATCAGAAGAACCATTCCAAATCTTAACTGTTTTATCATCAGATACCTAAAATAAAACAAAAAATTAAGTTATTTTAATAAATATTTAAATATTTTTATTTATCATTTTTGTGTTTAATGTACTTTTAGTTGTCTTTCCTTGTTTGAAATTTTAATCAAAATATTTTTCAGATTCATATTAAAAATAATATGAATTCATATGATATGGCAAATCATGCAAAAGATGATTTAATTAATAATAATATATTTTTCCATTACATTTAAATTATTGTAATTTTATTAAAATATATTTAAATTACATAGTAACCCGTCATTATATCACACATGAAAGACAAACCAAATAAATGATATATCCAATGGAGCAATACCTCTGATATATCTATCCACCTATTTTGTTTATTTTCAATCTCCATGCTGATTTGCTTTTTTATAGATTGTAATTCATACAATAATAGTTTAAAGGTTGATGACTATATGCCAGTAGAAATTCAATGGCAATTGATATTTTTAAAATTATTGGCTAAAGGATTTTTATATTTGGAAGACAAAAAAGTGCAATATATCCAAATGAGCAATGTAACAAGGGACTATTGTATTATAATTTTTATAAAAATAAGTGCTTGAATATATTGTCTCCCTTTTCAACCAAAAATAATCCAAGAGCCCTCTGAAATATACATTTATTTTTTCAGTTATGTTTTGGCAATAAACTGATGCTAGTGTTATTGATAAAATTGTTTCAGCATACAATAGACTTGTAACTTGTTTAAGAGTTGAGGTTTGTATTTAATTATTAAATAATTGATGTTTTAATATTAACAAAACAAGATACAGATATACCTCACCTTACATCAGTAATTTGTTCCAGGAGAGGAGACTTAAGTCGAATTTACTTGTCACTAGGCTAAACCACAAATAACCATTCCCAGTTCTGTATTTTATTTATTAATGCATTTTAAATAATATATGGTTAATAAGAATCTATTTTAAGTTTACAAACAAATAAATTTCAGTTTTTAATATAGTACAGAAAAAAGTAATCTAAATTTATGAATACATGTACGTACATACTTGTAAATGTACATGTTTACAATTTGGCAATGTTTACAGTACATCGCGGACTCTTTATTTATGAATGTGGTTTGCTCTAAGACATTATAAAGTAAGATGATTTTGTAAAGTTAAATAACAAATACAGTTATTAAAATTATTTTGTAATAGTAGAAAATAAACTAATTTATGTTAAATTTACCAATATTGAGTGGTGCTGATGACGACGACACCAAATGGTAGATATTAGAACTATCATGGAAAACACCAATATTGAGCTCTTAAAAGACCATTAAATAAGATTGTCACACAGTCACAGATGTTTTCGTGCTTCATTCTCTAGTATTTATGATGATTATATTAACATTTATTGTAATTGTACATATTTTAATATGTACATTTTAATGCTTTTCTAGTGATATTACGACTTCAATATTTGTGGCAGACATAAGTAAAGTGGAATAAAATGACTTAAACTTGATTTTTTTTCCATATACTTTTTTTGACAAACGACGTATAATCGGGAACGACGTAAGTCGAGGTATAACCTGTAAGTACATTTTTCTTATACTTGAACGAAATTTCAAACTATACCTTGAACTTAAATTCAACTGACAAAAAATTTGACGAGAATCTTTCAATCGAAACGAAATTATCGTAAATCTAAAAAATGAATATATCTGTCATAAATTAAATACTTAATGATTAATATAATTTCACTTTTTCTATAATTTGTTTATTACAAAAAAGTGTTTAGCAAAAAATAATGTATAAAATACATATCATATTATTTACTATATTGTAAATAAAAACTGAAATACAATAAAAAATCGTTCTTACCAGAGATGTCAAGTAAGAAAGTCCAAAAGAAACCGAAAGACATCCCGTTAAGTATACCATCGAAAGTCCGGTTAAATAAATTCGAATATAAAAGCTGACATCGAAAAACAGCAAAGCGAAGCACAGAAAACACGTTTCGTATGTGAAGTGAGCGTATATCAAAGCAGAAAGAACTTCCCATTGCTTGTTGAGCATTTCAAACATCTCCCAAATCTCTGTGTGCTTTTCGCAGATGTCTTGCAATTCGTGTTTCAGTGCTGAGGAAGTTGTCATTATTAGTTCTAATTCTTCAGATAACTTTATAAGTCTCTTTCCTACGAACATTGCAAGAATAGAAAAGAAAAGAAGGACCGAACATATCTGTCCTACGAATTGCAGGTAAAGAAACGAAAAGTATATCGAACAAATCGTTGCTTCGAGTATACTTCCATCATATTTTTTGATTGTTGGAAACATAAGCATTGCTGGAACATTAGAAACAATCAAAAGTAAGACGAAAACGCCTATTAAGTAGCATAATACAAGGAATTCCAGTTGGCCCGGCAAATTTTCTTCTCCTTCGTAGGTGCTTTTCATGTAATGCAGAAAAATTTTTTTTCTCTTCAGTATCGAAAATTGAAGAGCGACGTAGATATTNATACCTACACAAAGACAGTTTTCCCATTCCACTGCTGTATCTCATCAAATCAAACTTAAATGTAAAGTTTGATTCTGATGAAACCGTGTTGTTGTTATTAAGCTGTTTCTTTGCAGACACACTAAGGTGACATATATCAACACTTGGCAACTTATTGACTATTTATTCAGTTGGACAATTAAACAAACAATTAAATGTAAAGTATTATATATAATAAAACTAAAAATAACAAAAACTGACATTGCATATAAATCAAAAACACATATTTTTTTCTATATGTGATTGACCTAAAAAATTGATTAAATAAAATTTGTAATTAAAAAATTAAAAATTTTTTAATCAAACACACACACACCTATATACGTGTAATGTATATTAAAAAGTATTAAAGTATATATAAGATTAAGACACTGTTTACTTTTGAAAGTATTACATTTTTATTTAGTTAACATAAAATTAATTCAAAATTTAATTATTTGATTTGCTCTTTTATTAATTTAAGTTACCTCTCCATCACAAGATCCAGAAATCAACGAGGATAATGATAAAGGATTTTTTGCTAAACATTGTATTCCATCTCTGTGACCATCTAAAGATCCTAGAAATGGTTTAGCAAATATTTTTTCTATTTTTACTGCATTAAGTGCTCTGACATATTCTCTTGGTGTTGCAAATGGATGTAAAGAAGGATCAAAATTTCTTTGAACTGAAAAATGAAAAAAAATAAAAAAATAAAATAATAATAATAATAATAATCTATAAACATATTTAAATAAATATATTAAAATAAAAGAAACATAATTATTATATTACAGTATTTATAAAATATATAGGCAATCCTTGATTTTCCTTCTAAAAATACATACAAAAGTTGAATAATATAGTTGGGTCATTCTAAGTTAAGAGGTACTTTCAACGTCCATGAGAAATAATCACATTTTTTTCAAAAATTTGTTTGAAGTAATGTTATTATCTCTCAAAACTCACTATCTTCTTTATGGTCACTTAAATTCATTACTTAAATATACTTAATTTAGTCACAATAGTACTTCAAACATGAAAAACATATCTCCCCTGGCCTGTCCCCTAACCGATTCTGTTCGTGTATCAGTAATTTTAAATACATAGAAATCTAATAAAATATCAAAATCATTCATTTTAATAAAATAGGATAAGTAAATTATTGTAATCTAACAAGTAAAATTACGTAATATTTCTTTTTCATAAAAAAATATTTACATCTAATTTGTCCCGCATTTTTCGCGTCTCGTCCCCTGGCATTTTGTATTTGTCAAAAAACGATGTTTGTTTACTTTGTCGCGGGAAATTGTGACCTTGAACACATTTCATTGGACGTGAAGTTAGCAGCAAGCATCAAGCGAGCTAACCACGCAGCAATTTTGTCAGTGATTTCGGTAACGTTACTCTGTGGGTACAGTTGTGAAAGAGTGAAGTGATCTCTCCCCTGGTAAGTTTTATTTTGTGATTATTTATCTAAGAACTTTATTTTATTTGTATATTTACTGTTATTTGTGCATAGATTCTCATATTTATTTGTTAATTATGTACGATAAATACTGTTACGATTATTTCAGTTTTCTAACGAAAAATTATCTCCCCTGTCATATCTCCCCTGCCTTTTAAGATTCCAGGGGAGATATAAAAACGTCAGATCAGAGTATTTTTATGGATAACACGTAAACCGTTGTTCCGTAATTTAGTCAATATACATTTTTACTCTTTTAGCCTATCTCATACATTTAATTATGGTATAATATGTCTTTTACAGAATGTTAGCAAGAAAAAAAATGACATATAAAGAACGCCTAGAAAAAAAACGTGTAGCAGAAAGATTAAGGTACCAATGCATAAAAAATGACCCTGACAAATACGCACTACAAAAACTTAAAGAACGTGAAAAGTATCAAAAGAAGAAAGAAAAAGGAATTGTTAAGACTGTGAACCAAATGACCCCCCAAAAACAGCGAAAAGCTAGAAAATTGTGGAGAGAAAAAGCAAAGAATCGTAGATGTCTTTTAGCACTTCAAGTCATAAGTAATGAATCCTCAACCCTTCCTAGTTCGGATAATGAAGACCCACTGCTACTACCACCTCCTCAGAATGAAGATATTAACAGGCTGCTTGAAAATAAACAGTCTGATAATTTAATAATTATAAAATGAATAAATAAAGTTGATTCTTAAAAAAAAGTCTATTTTCTTTCATAAAGCAATGTTAAAATCTCTCTCCTGTTCATAAAGTATCCTACCCTGTATACCTAGTCTCCCCCCTGTATTGAGTATCTCCCCTGGTCATTCATAAAACAAGATAAAATAAATAAATAGACTGGCCACCTTGCGAATATGCACAAATTAGTTGTTTCAATAAAAATGTTACATAATTAGATTAAATTTCTAACATTTATGTTGTGGTCACATCTCTTAACCAGTGAGTACCTCTTAACTTAGAATGACTCATAAATAACTAGTATGAAGTGCCACCATGACAGTATACATATCTAAAATTTGACAAAAAATTAAAAGAAAACATGTAATGGTGAGCTGCTATTAGAAATCATGTAATGGTGAGTTTTACCACCAATTAAAATATTTTTTCTCCTTTATTAATTAATGTACAAGTTGTGTAAGAAATCCAGGTTAAAGCATACAGTACCTAGGTAAACCCAATGGCAGTGTTTCTGACTGTTCATACTCCCAAAGGACTCCTCCCGGAGGGGAGATGCCGCGTGTTTAATGCCACGTAGTTATTGATTCACGGTAGTTCTTGAACAAAATAAAAGAAAGGAAACGTCTAAAAATATAGGTAATCTATATTTTTAGTAGACGTTTCCTAACCTAACAGAAGCGCCGCCATGTTGGCTACTAAAGTAAATATAACAAGATACACTTTAACCGAAATCCAATCAACTACTAGACATGGCTGAGATATTTTCCATACCTAAATATTTAATAATCTAATGACAGAAGCTTAATATTAAATTGCAGTATACTCAATTAAGATCAATATATTAATTAGTGTACTATAATTTGGGAACAAACTATTCACCAACGTCGGACGTAACCAGATTTTTAATTTGAAAACAAGTTTAAATTTTTTATGTTTTACATTTAACACGTTCCTTACCTTTATGAATATCTTTTTTTGTTTCTCGAATATAATCATCGGGATTACGAGAGATTACTTTAACTTTCATATCTTTATGTTAAATATTAAAATCTACGAAACATTTTCTCATAGCAATTTAATACATACAACAGTAAAAGCACACGTGTTTCTAGCGGTGCCACAAAAATCGTCAACAGAAAAGTGAAGTTGCCAACAAGAAGAAAAAAATAAATTAATTAATTATTTATAACAAAAAAGAATGAAAACAATTTATTTTTAAATGCTTGGTTTTATTTATTTTAAAATAATATTGAATTAGAATTTCATTACCTTTTTAAAATTGTTCCTTTTTCATTCTTTTAATTTTTCTGCGTTGAGAACACTAAAGTGGGCCTTTCCAATCGTGGTTTATGGCAGGCCTACAGGGGGTATGGCCGTATGGTGATAGTTTTTTTAAACTCTTTCCGCCCTGTGGGCACTACGAGGACCCCTTTTTGCAAGCCCATTATGGGTTCGGCCAGACCCACAATGGGGCTGCCGGGTGGTGAGGGATGGGGCCCGACATATCCGAGCGGACCACCCCCCGAAAAATTCCTGGGGATTTTTCGACCCGTTCGGATTCGAGCCCGGGTCCCCAAGAGCGGAAGGCTGCTACCTTGACCGTTCGGCCATCCGGCCGCATATGGTGATAGCTAGAGCCAAGTATATCTGCGAAAATTTCTGAACCCATTCAGATTAAAAAAGCACTAGACAGCCGCCCTGAGACCTGAGAAGTTCGAGTATGAGCTCAGAAATTTTCTTTTGCATTGTCTAGCCAGGTCTTATTCTAGGATTTTTTCCTACTGCACAAATATCAGTTTTACTATGGCCAAGCCGATAAATCCTAGCGTTAATAAGCTATTATAAAAGATATATAATAAATGGAAAATAAGGACAATAACACAAATATTTCTGTATAATTATTTATTAATTTCAATCATGAATCTTAATCGTTATAGATGTGTAGTGTGCACTGCGCGCCTACACATGATATCATTTATTATACAATAAGTGCACTGTGGTTGTGGATTATAGTTTAAATGATAATATTGATGTTGCGGCTGCAAAAAAATATCTATTGTATATATTCAATACAAATGATAAATCCTATCAACATTCCTTCTATAGCTCTTTTTTTCGTGGGCCGAATAAAAGAAGGATTTTGTAATTAACACTATTTATTTATACATATTTATACTTTATTTTAGTTTTTATACAAGTAAATTGAAAAGTCTCGAGGGATAGTTAATATCTACTTCAAAATTAACAAATATACATAAAAACAGATTTTTAGAAAAATGTTGAAAAAAATTATTCTAGAGAAACAAAATTTTATCATCAAAATTGTATTGTATTACTATATATATATATATATTTTAATTTCAACATATGTAAAATTTACAAATATAATAAATATGTATACTATTATAAATCTTTAAAAACCATTTATTCTTTAGCATACTTCTCAGTTGAGTGAATTTTCTTTTTAGTAGTTTGCTGTCGCTGTTTAAGATGTCATGAAATTTTTCGCAAGAATTTGTTAAATTATATTTCACACAAAATATGGCTTTCAAAGTCTCAACACTTAATTGTGATTTTTAGATGTCCACACTTTATTTATGGTAGAAAAACGCGTTCAGTCGTGGCATTAGTTCCTGGTAAGGACAGCGTATATTCCAGAATTTTTAATGTATTATTATATGGAACATAATTTGTTTCAAAATGATGAAATATTTCTAACCATTTGTTCTCTGTTGAGATTTTTGCTACCTATGACAAACAATATTTTAACAATTATTTTAATCCTTCTGTATTTCTTTCTAAATAATAATAATATAAACTTACTCGTATATTACTTTTCCTCTGAATTTGTCTTGAGTGTCACTTTATTATTGTAATTTATTTTGTTATATCATACCGTCGTAACCAAAATGAACTCCATTCCCACCTCTNCCTCTTTTTGCAAGCCCATTATGGGTTCGGCCAGACCCACAATGGGGCTGCCGGGTGGTGAGGGATGGGGCCCGACATATCCGAGCGGACCACCCCCCGAAAAATTCCTGGGGATTTTTCGACCCGTTCGGATTCGAGCCCGGGTCCCCAAGAGCGGAAGGCTGCTACCTTGACCGTTCGGCCATCCGGCCGCATATGGTGATAGCTAGAGCCAAGTATATCTGCGAAAATTTCTGAACCCATTCAGATTAAAAAAGCACTAGACAGCCGCCCTGAGACCTGAGAAGTTCGAGTATGAGCTCAGAAATTTTCTTTTGCATTGTCTAGCCAGGTCTTATTCTAGGATTTTTTCCTACTGCACAAATATCAGTTTTACTATGGCCAAGCCGATAAATCCTAGCGTTAATAAGCTATTATAAAAGATATATAATAAATGGAAAATAAGGACAATAACACAAATATTTCTGTATAATTATTTATTAATTTCAATCATGAATCTTAATCGTTATAGATGTGTAGTGTGCACTGCGCGCCTACACATGATATCATTTATTATACAATAAGTGCACTGTGGTTGTGGATTATAGTTTAAATGATAATATTGATGTTGCGGCTGCAAAAAAATATCTATTGTATATATTCAATACAAATGATAAATCCTATCAACATTCCTTCTATAGCTCTTTTTTTCGTGGGCCGAATAAAAGAAGGATTTTGTAATTAACACTATTTATTTATACATATTTATACTTTATTTTAGTTTTTATACAAGTAAATTGAAAAGTCTCGAGGGATAGTTAATATCTACTTCAAAATTAACAAATATACATAAAAACAGATTTTTAGAAAAATGTTGAAAAAAATTATTCTAGAGAAACAAAATTTTATCATCAAAATTGTATTGTATTACTATATATATATATATATTTTAATTTCAACATATGTAAAATTTACAAATATAATAAATATGTATACTATTATAAATCTTTAAAAACCATTTATTCTTTAGCATACTTCTCAGTTGAGTGAATTTTCTTTTTAGTAGTTTGCTGTCGCTGTTTAAGATGTCATGAAATTTTTCGCAAGAATTTGTTAAATTATATTTCACACAAAATATGGCTTTCAAAGTCTCAACACTTAATTGTGATTTTTAGATGTCCACACTTTATTTATGGTAGAAAAACGCGTTCAGTCGTGGCATTAGTTCCTGGTAAGGACAGCGTATATTCCAGAATTTTTAATGTATTATTATATGGAACATAATTTGTTTCAAAATGATGAAATATTTCTAACCATTTGTTCTCTGTTGAGATTTTTGCTACCTATGACAAACAATATTTTAACAATTATTTTAATCCTTCTGTATTTCTTTCTAAATAATAATAATATAAACTTACTCGTATATTACTTTTCCTCTGAATTTGTCTTGAGTGTCACTTTATTATTGTAATTTATTTTGTTATATCATACCGTCGTAACCAAAATGAACTCCATTCCCACCTCTAGCAATAGAACGATACAAACCGATGTGCTTACTCTCGCTAACCGCTAGCTTTCTTAGGCGGCAATAGACGAGAGCTCTGCGCCATGTAACATGCAACGAACAATATCTTGGACAGCCTGTGGACATGCACTGTTCCGTTGCTGCAGCTGCGCGCCCCAAACCATTTTCTGTCGGTCTTTGCCACGAATACAGGGGTTTTGTCGGCCCAGCATTCTTTATTTCCGATGCTCATGCACACCTTGGTACTGATAAGTGTGATATAAAATGATCTTTACGAATCTTAAACATAAGACAAGTTTATGACACATAATTGACAAACAAAAACTTAATCTTTCCAAAACTCGGGACTTTTTTAAAACGTCTCGGGACGCGGGAAAAATTGTTAAAAATCGGGACTGTCCTGCCAAAAGTGCGACGTCTGGTCATCTTAACTAAGACTGTCCACAAGTCCGTTATGGATTCGGCCAGGCCCACAATGGAACGGTGTGATGACGAGGGACGGAACCGACATGTCTGGGAAGGACAACTCACAAACCTTCTGTGGTTGCTCGCCAGGATTCAATTCCGGGTTTCCCAGATAATTACATTGACGCCTTAGCTTCTTCGGCCTCCAGCCCTCTGAATTTGGTCTAAAAATGCCGACGGTCTTCAGGACTTCAACTGAGCACGTGGTGGCTCCGTCTTGAAATTCTACGCTGTGTGGCCGTTGCTGGATCCAGTTGAAGCTGAGACTGACTCGTTGATCTTGTGAGTGCGATAAAGCAGATAGGTCGATCCAAGCACCTGTACTTTCAGTAGGCCCTGGGATAATTGGGCTTTAGTATTGGGTGATTTTCCTGATATAATATTCAATGAATAAAAAAATATCTGAAAAACTTGTCTCAAAAATTATGAGTATGGTATAAACTCCATGTTTATGAACTGTCAAATTGACTGATCCTCAGGTTCTTGCTGGGCTACTTCTGGTTTGAGGATAGTGCTGATCCCTGCTCATAGATTTCACCTTCCATTGTGCTGACACTTCCCCTTTTATCTTACCATTACTATTCTATTTATAGTCTTTTCCTATCTTTCTTTGGTTAAGCGTTTTCAACAGTCATCTCTTTTAAAACCTCACGTCAAATTACCATTTTGGCAATTCCAGTGTTAAAGTTATATTTTACTATAGATTAGTTTATCAAAACAAATTATATGTAACAGTATTTCTTATCCAAAATAATTAGAAAGGCCAATATTAAAGCATTATTAATAAATTGAGTTCTTTGAGGACACATTTTGTATCTGAAGAATGCTAAAATTAGTTCTTTTTTTAATTAACTTTATACGAACGACCTAATTCGCAATGGAATTCGTGTAAATAAAGGATGAAGAATCCGAGTAAAATCACCCTTCAAACTCAGTATAATTCTGAACCGGTGGATTCGAACGCGGATCCACAATCATTCAATTGATGGTTTAACGAAAAAAAGATTAAACGAAGGGAAAAAAGACGTATAATTTAAAAATTAGAGGCAAAAACTATAGAGCTATATATAAATNTTTTTTAATAAACATTTGTAAATTGTAAATTTCAACATATGTAAAATTTACAAATATAATAAATAGACTATATATACTATTATAAATCTTTAAAAACCATTTATTCTTTAGCATACTTCTCAGTTGAGTGAATTTTCTTTTTAGTAGTTTGCTGTCGCTGTTT